ACTTTTGTATAAAACAATTATTTTTATTCTCAGCACAATTTGAGCCTTTGGTGGGGGTGGGGAGCAGAAGTAAATAATAGAGAAAAAGTCATAGTCATTTATAAGCACTCAGACATGACCTTCAGGAGCCCTGCAAACTGGAGAAGCCCCTTTCTCTCTTCCGGTTGTCTGATCCCTGGTGTGCATCGCTACCATTCCCGGGGGCCCCAGTTGGTCTGCCTGGCTCCAGTCTTGTTCTTTCCAGTAAAGCCTCTCTATGTCAGGCCCTCTAAGATGTCAGTACACTCCTGCCACTTCTGGTGAAAACCCTTCAGTGGCTCCCTGAGCATTCAAGATGAAGGCCACACTTCCCACCACTCAAATCTGCCCTGTGTTACCCAACCCAGGTGACCTCTCAGCCCTTCCTGCTCTCTCATCCTGCAGCGTCCCTCCTGCCGGCCCCTGAACCCTGCTAGACTGCAGAAATGCACCAGGCTGCCACACCGCTAGTCCTCTGTGTGGGACTGTGTGCTTCCTGCGTCTCTCTTCCCCTTTCATGCTGCAATTCTTGCTCTTCCTACAAAACCTCACAGATGTATCCCTTTTGTAGGGACCAGTTGCTCACTGCCCCTGCACATGCACAGGACACTTTCCACCTTAAATATATAGTGTTTATCCCTTTCTACGTTAACATCTGACTTACTTCTTTTATCCCTCTAGACTTGCAGTTTCTTGAAGACAGAAACCACTGCTTAATCAATGCTGTATCCCTTCACCTGTGACAGCTGAACAGCCCTTTGTAATGAGCACATTCTTTCGCTGTACAGCGATCACCCTTGCTGGGTATTCTCTGCCAGCATGACCTGTTTATGTTATCACTACTCTTTCAGAGGCAGGTGTTTCCAGCCCCTCCACATCCCTAACTATTGCTCCCTCTGCCCACCATACTTGCCACTCATTCATTCATTCATCAAATATTTATTTATTGAGTCCTATGTTTAGGCCTCTGTGTCAAAGAGCTACAGTTTCTAATAAAATGCTTCTAATAATGAAGAAAACAATCTTCTAAAAGCTGCTTTCTTGTGTTCAGAATGGGAAAGTGGCTCCATAAGGCCTCTGCTAGCTCACAAGAAGCAAGAGTCAAAATCTGACCAAGGACATGGGGGCCACTCCACCCAGCCACACACACACACAGAAAAGAACTGTTCCGTCTCCAGCTCCCTGCTAACAGGAATACTAGAAGCCACCCAAGTTGGTGTGCAAATGAAACATTATCTTTGCTTTGGGCAGGAATTAGGTCCACTGACAGCTTGCACACAGCCTGTTTTAGTCCGTGCCCAGTTAATAGTCACAAGTCTTTAGTTAACAGAAACGCAGTGATGAATTGAAAATATTTCAGAAGCTCATTGGTAGCATTTCTTGATTCAACAGGATGGTGAAGCAGAGGCTCCTTCTTAGCCTCCTCTTTCCTGTTTTATGCCTTAGGTTGGAGATGGCACCATGTCATGCTAGCACCTTAAAACTCTGCTTTCCAATCTACCCTAATTTATGCTTTTGAGTGACAGTGCCTCCCAAGGCTTAAGTTTCACTCATACAAGCTCACAAAACAGGACAAGTGCTTCTCTGGAGAACCCTGCCTCATGTTAGCTGAGATTTCAGTACTTGAGAATTATCAAGTTAGAAGGAATACAAGACTAGTAAAGAATCAGCATGGTTTAGGAAAGGGAAGGTGACTAAGAGGGAAACTCCCACCTTGTCCTAGAAATATGTAGCCCCACACTGACACTAGTCAAACAGGTAGGGACTTCTGGGTAGGGACCTCCAGGGCAGGAAGGGATGAGAAAGGTTTTATTCCAGCTGAGATAAGTGGGGACCAGAAAAGAACCCTCGCGTATCAGGGACAATTGCCACCGAAAGATTCCAGCTCTTAAATATAATTTCCAGGGGCTGGGGATTTAGCTCAGCGGCATAAGCACCTGCCTTGCAAGCAGGCGGTTGTGAGTTCAATCCCTGGTACTGATAAAAAGGAAAAAGACAAAAAAAAAAAAATAATAATAATATATATATATATATATATATATAATTTCCATTATTTTGCTTCCTTGTTCTTGACTCTTTTTCCCTTGTCTCTATAGATGGAAGCTGAGCTGGAGCGTTTCCATAAACAGAACACGCAACTGGAGCTGAACATCACGGAGCTGTGGCACAAACTGAGAGCCACGGATCAGGAGATGCGCAAAGAAAGACAGAAGGTGTGAGGTTTTTCAGAGTCTGGCAGTTCTTGGACTCAGGATCTGGTACATTCCTGCCACGGACAGCTGGCTTCTTAGAGACAGCCAGCCCATTGCTAAGATACACTTCCCATTTTAACTCACACAGTTTTCTTTCCCACAGCCCTGCTTGACTCCAGGCCCATGCAAGGGTACATGACTGAGTCCAACCAAGAGTATAAAGTGACTTGGGTACAGGGATCAGAGTTGGGAAGCTGGTTTCACAGGAACACTTAGCCTTTGGCTTCTTTGGCATAGGGAGGAACCTGCCCAGACAGGTCACTTGCAGTCAGTGAACTGCTGAGGCTAAGACAACCTCAGAGATCTATACTGGTCTTTTCACAATATAAATAAGTGAAGTAAGGCCAGAAAAAGTAGGAGGTTAAACTTCATCCGACACCTCCAGCTAGCTTATAGAGTCAGTTCAGGAAACTGGGTCTTCTGGTCCTGGGCCATGATATGATCTTGTCCTCTTCCTTTGTTGCAGGCCATCCCATAATGTTTGCTGAGTCAGACTGAATTTTTTCATCCTCCATATCAAGCATTTACTCCTGTGCAAGATAATACTATAAGCTTTATCACTGAAATAGACAGATTTAGGTCCTGCCCCTCACAAGCTGGAAAAGCTGATAAGTGTTCTATAGCACATGCATAGTACAGTGCATGGTAGAAAATTATGGAATGTGGGTAAAAGACATGAGAGTGAGGAGATAAGAAAGACCCTCTGTAGATATGATAGGGGAAGACAGGATTCAAAGAACTCATGATCAAGGAGAGGGAGCTTGCCCCAGTGTACAGATGAGGCAGTCCGCTGGAGGGGGCTTCCTCCCCACCCATCCATACAGCAGTTCTGACCATCTGAATGAGTTCATACAGGAAACATGAACACCATGGGTGGGATTTGCAAAAGAAAATTTGTTCATCTATCTTGACTCTAAAAGAATATGGGTAGATGGTTAAGCTTACTTTTATCTTTATTTTTATTTTTGGTTTTTTGAGTCAGGGTATCACTATGTAGTACAGACAGGTCATGAACTTGCTTATGTAGCCCTGACTGACCTCTAACTCACAGTGATCCTCCTGCCTCAGCCTCCTGAGTACTGGGATTACAGGCATGAACCACCACGCCTGGCTCTTTTTTCTTTTAAAGTTGATAATTCTGAAAAGATTCCCAAGCCGTAAAGGAAGCCCTGTGTGTATCTGTCTGTCTGTGTGTCTGTCTCTTTGTTTTCATTTTTAAAATGAAGCCCTAGAGTCAAGAATGGTGACACACGCCTGTAATCCCAGTACTCTGGAAACTGAGACAAGAAGATAGCAAGTTAGGCCCAGCCTGGACAATTTAGTGACTTGAGAGACCCTGTCTCAAAATTTAAAAAAATAAAATAAAAACATAAAGAGCTTGAGACATAGCTCAGTGCAAAGACTCTGGGTTCAATCCCCAGTACTGTAAAAACAAAAAAGAAAGAAAGGAAGAAGAGGCTCTGAGGTTATGTTGAGGCCATGAGGCCACTCGCCCAGCCCCAGCAGGTACACAAAGGTTTCACGGTCATCCTTTCAGCTCTGGGCCCACACAGGTTTCCATGCCCAGTATGGCTGACGGTGATCAGCTGTAAGTCCCTTTCTGTGCCTGCAGCCTCTCCCTGTAGCCCCTGCAGAGCATCCTGAAGTGCCAAAGTAAATATCCAATTGCAGGAGCGAGACTTGGAAGCACTGGTCAAACGATTTAAGACAGACCTTCACAACTGTGTGGCCTACATCCAGGAGCCCCACCTGCTAAAGGAGAAGGTCCGAGGTCTCTTCGAGAGCTACGTGCAGCGGGCAGACATGGTGAGAAGCCTCTCCCACCACCCAACCCTGGGCTGCCCTGTGCCACTTGGTGTGTTCCAAGTTTCCCCTCCCTCACTGAAGATCCCCTGCACCATCTCAGGTGGAGATAGCAGGGATGAACACGGACTTGCAGCTGGAGTATGCCCGCCAGCGGGAACATCTGGAAAGGAACCTGGCCACTATTAAGAAGAAGGTGGTCAAGGAGAGCGAGCTGCATCGTACTGACTATGTTCGCATCATGCAGGTACTGACATATATCCCTCTGTCTGAGCGGCTGAGCTGTCAGAGATGGAAAGTGAGCCATGATCCCTCTGAGTCCTCCACCCCTGGGGCTCCGCAGCTATCCAAGGGACTCACTAGCTTCCCATATGGCTTTCTTTCAGCCCCAATCCTCTGACCTCCCAGACGCCATACTGGAAGTAACCATGGCCAAGAGCGCACCAGTCTTTCTAAGCACCTCCATGCCACCAAGGTCCTTCTCACTTCAGGAACCCCTGTTCCTTTCCCCACTCCATCCCTACGTAAAGCATGCCTGTGTCCACTGTCACTCCTCTCAGGGACCCCAAGCCCCTTTGGACCTTCATCCAGGTTATCTCAGCTATCCGGGTTAATCCTGAGTTACTGTCTCCTCTTGTTCCACCTTACTTTGTTTTGCTCATTTTTTGTTCAGTTCATACCTGCTGGGACATGCCCATCTACACCTGCCTTATCTCACCTTTCTGGTGTCTCAGGTCTACCCTATCTCTTGGTCCACACATAACCACACCTACCTGAGTCACCCTTACCCCCACCTCAAAACACCCCCACCTCTGATTTAATGAGCTTTCTGCATGCTCATTAGGATCCTACACAAGGCTGTGTAGTGAGTCTGGCCCCATTACCGCCACCCCCACTTAAGCACCTTATCAGGACTGCTAGCTGGGATGTTCCTACCAGATCTCTGCTTGAATGTCAGTATCATCTGAAGTAATTACTGTGAGTTAATATCAGAGGAGAAAATCAGAATCACATTTATAAAGCATGTATGTTTTTACATTTACATTTCTTTAATGCCCTAATTAAAATGTTAGGACAGGTTGCACTTTGGTTGATAGCAGATCCTAGGTTGGCATCCCTGACACAGCTGGGCAGAGCACACTGGAATCCATGGCTGATTTCATGCCACTGTACAACCAGCCTCAACCCTCTCCATCAGACCATCACCCTACTCGGGGCCACAAAAAGCAGTCAGAGGTCCAGAAAGAAGAGTGGATCCATTTGATAGGACCTTTGGCAGCGCAGCAGCCCCACACAAAGCTATGGCTAAGGGCCTCGAGGTCCTGGAGCATAGAGAAGCCCCTCTTGAGGGCAGCAAACTGGGCAGTGGGACAGAGGTGCAGCTGTAAGCTGGTGCATGGCTCAGCTCTTATTGGTACCCTGCCACCAACACACAGGCCTGAGGAGTCTTCCCTCTGCAAGCCAACCAGGGTTCAAAGCAAGTGTTGGTCCTAGAAGGGAAAAGAAAAGTGAAGACACGGGCTGATCAGAGGTGCAAGCATCTGCATGAACTGCCGGGCCAGGCATCAGTCCCTCTCTTTCTCTCCCCCAGCTGCTGGACCAGGACAGGAACAGGAACCCAATATCCAGCAAGACTCCTGCCCAGCCCTGTCCCCCACCATGGCCAGCAGAGGGAGCCAGCCACAAGGGCAAGCTCCCAAAAAGGGGCGAGTGGGTGGATCCTAAACCTCTGAGTGGTGCAGTCCTGTGGCCCCAGAGAAGTGGCTTAGACAACTGCAGGGAGCAGAAAGAAGGCCCAAGGCAGGGCTTTGAATCAGAGAGGCTCCTTGCTGATCATGACAGGGCTCCATGTAAGATTTAGTCTGCAAAATGTTAAGATGTTTTAAAGGAGGGCTGGGGATTGAGCTCGGCGGCATAAGCGTCTGCTTTGCAAGGACGCAGTTATGAGTTCGATCCCCGGTTCCAAAAAAATAAATAAAGATTTTTTAAAGGGAAAACTTTCAATCACTGTTCTGGATACTAAAAATTATTTAAAATTAAAGGATAAAGGGTAGGCCAGGGCCAGTCCAGGTAGCAGGGCCTCACAGGCAAATATAGGTTTGGGATGCTGTTTTACCCAGACTGTGGAAGACAGTGGCCCTGCTTCTGGGTAGATGCAGCTTATGCTACTTCCAGTACAGTTTGACCAGGAAGCTCTGGATAAATTCTTGGGCTTCTCCAAGAGCTAACTCCTTACCTGTAAAATTGGAGGAAAACACCAACCTCAATGGTTACTGTGAGAACTGAATGAGGTAAAACACTAGGTACTGATTTGATACACAGTCTACATTCAAAAATGCCAGTTACTTTCCCTTCTCCCCAGAAAAAAAAAGATGCATTCAAGAACCAACGTTGAATTCCAGTCGGAAAGCCTAGAAGCCTGTCCCAAAGCAGGCGGTGGGCCGAGGGTGGAAAAGAGGACAGAACAGCTGATTCCATCCCCTCTGCTGGGGGCTCCTGTTGGCTGGGCATGAGGTAGTTGAGGTCTGCCTGGAGCTGTGTCCATAGGTAACAGGGCACTGGCACTTCAGTCCCAAAGACTGAGTAAAACTGGGGTGGGTAGAGCATCTGACAGCTGTTTATTAGATACTAACAAAAAAATGGGGCCACAATCTCATTTGTATATCCAGATAGGAGATTCAGGCTTTCCTACACCATTCCTCACCAGCTACCAGCAGATATGGAAATCAGAGTTTCTGTGACATAACAAACATCTAGGACACGTTCCATTCATTCAGCTGACATTTTTTGAATGCTTCTTACACAGCCAGCCTTGTGTGGACCATGGAAGATCCAAATTGAATGAGAGTTTCTCCCATCAGGGAGCTCCTCCTAGGTAACTTGGACCAGATGAAAGTTGTCACCAGTGCCTGGGTCACAGTGGAGATGGGGATTGACTGTACCTTGAGGACCCATGGAAAGTTTCTGAGGAAATGGTAGTTGAACTGAACGCAGTGTGGCGCTTCAGGACCAGCTGGGAGACGAGCCTTCTAGGCAGAGTGAATAGCTGAGAAAAAGCGGAGGAGAGGTTTTCTTGGTTTTGGGAGGGGGTGGCCACAGACTCATAAGGCCACAAACCTTAGTTTGTTCCAGAGCGTCTGGGACAGAAAAAAAGAGCCCATAGAAGAGTAGGTATCCTAGGGTCACACTGGAAAGGGCTTTTCACATCATGCCAGGAAGCATAAAGTTCACCCTGAACACAGACACTTCTGAGGCCTCTTAAACAGGCAGGCGTGTTTATATTCGTCTCGTAAACGGAGTGGGAAGAATGGACAGGCTGTGGAGAAAGAGACAGGTGGCAGGGGAGCCAGTTAGGAGATGGAGTAAATGAGAGCGTCTTGGAAAGAGGAACACTGATGTCAAAAGGTATTTCAAGAGTGCGATGACAAACAGAAATGCCAGGTTAGACATGGGGAAAAGGTGGAAAAAGAGTGGAGGAGGATTCCAGGATGGAACTTGTTCGTGCATTTGGACAGATGGCTGTCCCACTTACTGTGGGTTCCAGAAAGACCCCACCAATGCAAAGCTTCCAAGTTCACACAATGCATCTGTTGCCTGATTTTTCCACTCTGTGAGGCACTCCCTTCTTAAAAGCATCAGCTCAGTACCAGGCAGCAGGGGGTGCTACCGACATTCCCTTTTCTCTCTATGCAACATAGATGTCTGAAAGACCTGCCAGGGACAGCAGGCGTTTCCAAAGGCCTGCTATTCAGCTAAACATAGAAATCTCTATATAAATGAAGCTTAGCATTCCCCCCACCCCACCCCCAGCCAGTTTCTCTCACATTTTCAGTCTCAGCTCTTGATGGACCTCAGGTCAGATTTTTCCTGCTGCTGACTGGCTGGGTGGGAGTCTGGAGGGCTGGGAGATTTTTGCAGGCCGTGTTGAACGGGGAACAGACATGGACAAAAGGTTCAGTGAGTCGGTTGTGTTCACATTTTTAACTCACAAAGCTACCCAAGGCATATGCAGTAGGCTTCATTGTAATTTCTGTATTCTTCAGAACACAGAAGACCCTGAAAAACTACTTTTAGGGAGCCCGACTTGTACTTTTGGTGGTGTCTTTGGTCACTATAATATGAGTTATTGGAACTGAGGTAAGGTAAATGGGGTGCAAAAGTAAAGCTTGGAAGGCAGGAGTCAGAGGAGGAGGGAGTCTCCACCATTTATATGCTGCCTCACCTCCTCATACGAAAGGAATCTGATAGGAACCACTCCAGAGGGCTTGAAGGATGAAATGAGGTAATGTATACAAAATGTCTGATGCATTGTAGGAACACGGTTATTACGGTGTTAAGACACATTAAAGTCACATAAAAAGTGTTCAGGGAACCGTCATTTATTTGAAAGAGCTAGGCTGGATGGAAATGGTGCTGAGTCCACCTAGAAGTAAACGAAGTTCACTGGTATCTTGAGAAGCTGAGCAGCGAACAGGATAAAGATGGTGCTATGGCACATAGCTGGAACCCCAGCTGCTTTGGAGGCTAAGGCAGGAAGACGAAGAGTTCAGGGACCATGTGGGCAACATAGCTAGACCTCATTCATACTCTCTTTCCTCCTTTTCTGAAGGAAAATGTCTCTCTGATCAAGGAAATTAATGAGCTCCGCAGAGAGCTGAAGTTCACTCGCTCTCAAGTCTATGATCTTGAAGCAGCTCTGAAACTGTCCAAGAAAATCCAACCACAAGAAGAGACAGGTAATGTCACTACCAGGGAGAGGGGCACTGAATCAAGGGACCAGTAGCAGCCATAAGCAGTCTCCTTTTGGCTTCCTCCCGTATGAGGCCACATCCACCCATGGCCTTCTGGGAGCCTCTCCATGCCACATACCTGCTCTCCAAAAGACCTGTAAGGACCTTCCCGCACCTTCTCAGGTCCAGCAGTCCCTGGCTGAAATCCTCAGGGTTAGCTGCAGCTCAGAATTCAGACTCTGGTTTTAGAAAGAGCATGCTATATATTACATAACATCCCCAGAGGGGTCTGGGGCAGTGCTGTCAATCAAAGACAGTATTCAGTAGTGACAGATGAATATTCACACTGTTTCATACATTTTAAAAAGTATTCTATTTTTAAAACTCTTTGCATTTTGGAATTTTGGATAAGGAATTGTGGAGCTGTACAATGAAAGACAAAAAGATAAGAAACCAAAGGAACAGGAGAAAGAATTATATAAGAAATTTTGATAAGCTAAGTTACTACAGTTATGTCCTCAAGTACCTCTGAATTTCTGACAGCTAAGGCAAAAAGGGAAAGGAAGAAATGTGGCAACTTGCATAGTTCTCATTATATGGTGAAAGGAAGGTATTTCCTGGAGAAACATTTTCCTGGCATTAAATTCTGGGTAAAAGTTATCACATGGCTCTTTGTGAAAGAAATATGGAATAAGAGTGGACAGTCTCTAACAACAGCCATTAGGCATTCAAAAATATATAGTTATGGACAATCAATAAAAATGAAGAACATAAAGTTTTTCTATGGAAATTAAGTCAGCATGGTTCAAGTATTTTTGTTTTCGAAGGGTTTACATTCAGGAATAAATCTTAAAGACCTTGTTGAACTGAGACTTCCCACAGCCATGGATTGGGCCTTTCAAATGTCAGTTGTCTCTTGAACTGTGGAGTTGTCACTGGGGGAGGGTCCTGGGAGGTACAAGGAACTCTCAGTATTATTTCTGCATCTTCTCATAAGTCTTAAACCATCATAAAATTGAACATGTACATAATGTTACATTTATAGGAAAAATGATGGTGTATATATGTATATACAGATATGTATTGAACAGAAGCATTGCAATCAGCGGATTACAGATGCAACAGCGGTCCCTAAGACCGTATCATCTAGTGACATCATCATCATTTTAGTTTGTGCAGTTACACTTCGAGATGAGATCAGCAGAACATATGTACCCCTGATGTTAAGTGATATATAACTTTTTGTACATGCATGTATGTATGCTTTTGTCATTTCATGTATTATTTTGGTTAAGGTTGAAACTGAGACCAAAATAAACTCTGAACAGCACCCAAAACGGCAGTATTAGGTTTATAGCACTGCCATGAGGGCACAAAACATGTTATAAAACTGAGTGCTGCTCAGAGCCTAACCACCTCCTCTTGAGGATAATGCACAGATATGCCCACAAACAACTGAAAACTTTCTCTTTAAAAATGTCAAGTATGGGGGGCTGAGGGTTTAGCTCAGCGGCATAAGCGCCTGCCTTGCAAGCAGGCAGTAGTGAGTTCAGTCCCTGGTACCGATAAAAAGGAAAAAGACAAAAAAAGAAAGAAAGAAAACCAATTGAAATGGTGTAACTAAATCATAAGCATAAAGAGAACAAAAATGAAATGACACAAATTTTGAAAACTGGAAAATAAATGGATGAATGGTAAACAGCTTCACAGAGCTGCAAAACCTAAATCCTAAGCCCAATGAAAACCTAGAAAAAACCTAATAAAAGTCTCACAGGAGCAGACAGATCTGGAAGTAGGGAAAGCAAGACTAGACACAGGGGGTAAAGTCTATTTAAGAAGCTGTTACTTTGATCCACATAGGAGCCAATATAGTGGTTAAAAGGAGGGCCACATCAGATCCATCACCACGCACTCTCAGAACATCAGAGTACAAAGAAAAAATCCTCCAAACAAAGCGAGTAAGGGGAAATTTCATACAAAAAAAAAAAAAAATCCCGATTTCAAAGGTGGGTGTGGTGGCACATACCTGTAATCCCAGCACTTGGAGGCTGAGGGAGAATTGCCTTGAGTGCTAGAGCAGCCCGAGATAGTCAGTTCAAAGACAGCCTGAACTATGCAGTGAGAGCCTGTCTCAAAACAACAAAATTCCCAGCTACAGGATACAAAAGCCAGTAAAATGTATTGTTGTACACATAATGAAAAATCTCAAAAGGAAAGAAATCGATAGAATAAAATACTTAGGGGTAAAAAGAGCCCCAAAAAACCTTAAACTGAAAAACATCGCTGGAAGAAATTAGACACTAATAAATGGAAAACTTCCTATATTCATAAATTGGAAGACTTAATCTGTTAAAATGTCAGACCCAGGCAGAGGTGCACACACCTGCAACCCCAGCTGTGGTGGAAGGATCAGGTTCAATGCCAGCCTGGGCAACCTAACAAGATCCCACCCCAAAATTCTTTTCTCCATGCAAAGACTCTGGGAAAAAGAGAAGAGGAAGAAGAAAGTGAAGGGAGGCAGGGGAGGAGGGGAGAAAACTGTTTTCTTAAAATCGAGCCAAAAGAAAAAAAATTCTAGGAAACAAAAACTGAGAGAATTTGTGGCCAAAAAGAGCAATTTGGGCCAGGTGTAATCCCAGCACTCAGGGGCTGAAGCAGGAGGATCACTGTGAGTTCAAGGCCAACCTGGACCACTTAAGTGAGCTCAAAACTGGCCTGAGCCAGTTTTGTTTGTTTGTTTGTTTGTTTGTTTGTTTGTTGAGACTCTGTCTCAAAAACAAAAAAAAGGAAACTGAAGGAATTTCTAAAGAATATAATCAAGGGGCTGGGGATTTAGCTCAGCGGCATAAGCGCCTGCCTTGTAAGCAGGCAGTTGTGAGTTCGATCCCTGGTACCGATAAAAAGGAAAAAGACAAAAAAAGAAAGAAAGAAAGAATATAATCAGGAAGAAAAATGATTCCAAAGGAAAGGGAAATTGCAAATAAACAAAGTCAAATATGCAGACTTGAAATAATTGTGAACTATATAAGCTGGTGTCTACACTGTGGGTTAAAATATCAAGATAGAACCAAAATACTGGACATTCACATGTAAGCCAGGACACCTTGGAGCTACAATATTCTAAACTGTGTACTGTTTTACAGAAGGGTAACAATATTGATTTACCTTGGAATCTTAATCTATTGGAGGCAGCTCGTGGGCAGAACAGAGAGGGAGATGCCTCCAGCTGGACATGCTCCGGGCAGGAGCAAGAAGGGAAGGAGAAGACTGGAGGTGTGGGAAGAGAGGCAGAGTGGGCCCATGTGAGGGACCAATTTCATGTAGCAGTGGGAGGACAGGGGGGTTCACAGCAGTAGCACAGGGACACGAACCATCCGAGGGAGCCCCTGTGCAGCTGCACCACAGGATGGTGAGCAGACCGGTCACTGTCAATGCGAAGGAGGAAGAATCCTAGGAGTGAAGGGAAGAAGTGGAGGAAAACCACAACTCATGCCCTCAAGACAAGAGACTGACCAGGAGCTGCGGCAAAACATTGGGTCCATGAGGCCAAACGCCACATGAGCTGCCCTCCCAGGAGGCACAAGCACACCCCTGCGAACACTGGCAGAAAGAAGAGTCCAAGTGTGGGGACTTGTTCAGGCTCAGTCCACTGAGTACATTTAGGACTGTGGCTCCACACCCAGGTCGGGGGTCACCTGGGAACCCAGAAAGGGACTGGATAAGTATCTATGTCTAAGAGTCGTTGGGATAGCCAGGTGTGGTGGCTCATGCCTGTAATCCCAGCACTTGGGAGGCTGAGGCAGGAGGATTGTTGCAAGTTCAAAACCAGCCTGGGCTGCAAAGTGAGTTCAAGGCCAGACTGAACTGCATGGAAAGACCTTGGTCTCAAAAAGACAAAAAAGGGGCTGGGGATTTAGCTCAGCAGCATAAGCCCCTGCCTTGCAAGCAGGCGGTCGTGAGTTCAATCCCAGGTACAGATTTAAAAAAAAAAAAAATACTATACAAGGCATTGGAAAAACCAGACTTAGCACAAATGTGAAGGGAAACAGACAAATTACAATGTTAATTCTCAAACTAGCTATGTTGCAGAAATATAGGTAAATCTGATGAACAAATCTTTAAATTTGAAATATATCCATAATAGAATTCATTCTCGACTTCTCCCAAATACAATGAAACACATTTCATATGGAATATAAAATTTACAAAAAACTTTGGAGGGGAAATTTTTTCATAAAAAGCTCATGGTCAGAACTAAGAACATAGAGCCGGGTGTGATGGCTCGTGCCTGTAATCCCAGCACTGGGGAGGCTTAGGTGGGAGGATCTTTGCAAGTTGAAACCAGCCTGGGCTACAAAGTGAGCTCAAGGCCAGCCTGAACTGCATAGCGAGACCCTGTCTCAAAAAAAAAAATTTAAAAATAAAGATTAAAAAAAGTTGTTGGGAGACAGCACAGAGCTTAGTTCAGAGCCCAAGTCAAAAACAGGAAGTGACAGAGAGAATGTAGACAGATAAGTAGAAATAAGGCAGAGATGAGCAGTGCAGGCCCAAGTAGATGGACTTAGGGACCCCTTTCCTGGATCTCCCACGGAGACACTGCTCTCCAGGGTCCCAGGGCAAGGGACAGCTAGATTGATGGGATGGCCACCAGGAGCACCAAGGAACCAAAGGAAGATGACGAGTCAAGATCTAGGAAAAGAAGAAACACTAAAAGATCAAGAGTCTACAGACTGCAGAAAAGAAGAGGCAAAAGCAAAGGCAGAGAGAGAAAGATCCAGATGTCTCCAGAAAGAAGGCTGAGATAAGCCGAGAGATCCTTGAATGCTTCAGGGAGCTGGAGGGAGGTGGCAGTGCTGTTTGTTAAGAATGAGGGAGAGGAAATGGAGTCTGAAATTCACACTGTGGTGAGGGATGGGTGTGTGGGACTGTGAGTCTAAAGCCTATCAACATTTGGAGACAAAGCACTTGAATCTTGTGCTACTCTGTTCAGTAGCACACAGTAGGCGAGATGTACACAAGGAGGCCCTGGAAGTTAGGTTATCTGAGGTTTGGGCTGGTGGGGCACAGGACACTGTAGGACACAGCAGTTCCAATATTGAGGGTGCCGTCCCCAAATGGAGAAAGAAAGTCATCATGTGTCTAACTGGAGGAGCCCATTTCGGGGGTGGGGAGGGATGGAGTTGTCCAAGAACATGAGATCACAATTCAGCCAAAGGGCATAAGGGATAGACAGGTGAGATCAGAAAAGGGCATTCTAGGGTGAAAAGCATGCAGAACACAGAATCCTGGGTGGTGAGAAACCCAGAATGGGTGCTGGTATTGGGTGGAGGCTGTGTCCACTAATGCTGGCAATGGGATGGGCCACTGGCCTTGGTGGACCCTGATATTGCCCAGGACGATGGCAGAATCTGAGACAGAGAAGATGATAGAGCAAGGATTAGAGACACTCTCAGGGATGCAGGACACAGGAGGGATACAGAGCTGTCGGTCTCCAGGAGCAGGGGCTGTACGTGAGGCATGCCACCCTATCTGAAGGGTGTGGAGGGGAGAGAGCAGCCTTTACTGGAGAGGACCTCAGTGCGGGGGTACCAGGGAGGGCCTGGGCCAGAGTCATGCTCAGCCCTTGCCTTGTCATCCACAAGTGTCCCTTAATTTCTCAGTCTCTTTGTGAGATGGTAAAGATGTTTACTTACCTCTGTCCCTAACACTTGAGATTGAACATCTTCTCACAGTAGACATTCTAAGACTGTTTGGGGAGCGGGGAGAGAGGATGCTGCAGCAGGTCAGTGAACAGGTCATATTTGTCCTGCTCTGTCTATTACAGTGTCCAGCAGAGACATGCCCGGTGCCACTGTCATCATGAGACTGAATGAGCAAGAAGAAACTGGGAGAATCATTGAAATGCAACGCCTAGAAATCCAGCGCCTCAGAGACCAGATCCAAGAGCAAGAGCAAGTGCCGGGATTTCACACCATTGCTGGAATTCGACTTCCTTCCCTTAAAGACACAGAGGTGGATTGTGAGGTGAAGACCAAGTGATCCCTCTGGGGAGCCGTCTCCAGTCATAAACGGAAGCAGTGTGTCTGTCCTGGGGCAGCCTTGCACTGGAGTCTCTGCAGTCCCTGCAGCACCAAGCTCTTTCTCTTGCCCTGGGGACTAATTCAAATAAAGGTGTTTGCCTACAACCTTGTCCAATTTCTGCTCAGCAGGCACCAGGGCAGGAGTGGGAGGGGCGCCCCTGACGCTTTTGGAGAACTGCAACTCATCCAGAGTCAGTGCTGCTGGTCCTCATCTGCACTCAGCACTAAAGAAATCATACCAGACTTGGGCCTGGCTTCCTGCTACGTGCTGTCCTCTCTGGTTCTCCCAACTTACATGACTCTGTCTGTATCTCCCTCCTGACTTACTTCTTTCCCAGCCAAATTAAAACCAAAGCCTCTACATTTTCTTTCTTTTTTCATGAAACATAATGAGGCTTTCTGAGGTTTCTATGTGAAGAAAAAAATGAGAATAAAATACAGTGGTGCCTTGGTTCATGAAAATTCCTCCATGATTCTGGAAAAGATGGCCACATCCATGTCTTTGTGGGGAGATGGCCCTGATCGTGTTCTGTTTTGCTTTGCTTTTTCTTTTTTTTTCACAATCATGTTTGTCACCTGATACAGAATTCACAAACAAAAACAAAATTTTGCCAAATGGTTCTGCTTGCCAACCGACTTGTTCAAAGACAAAAACATTCATTGACCAAGTATCAATGCATGAACAGAGCAAAGGTACAAGGATTCCCCAAAGTCTTGCATTTCCTGTGGACGCTGTTCTTAGGACTGTAAGTGGAGCTCTGCCTTCTTAACTCACATCACCCTAGATGTAACCTCTTTTGCTTTGCAGGGCCTACCCAGCTCCCCCACTTCTGGGGCTCTTCTCCCTCTAGCAATCCTCCACACCCCATCCTGGGACACCAACTACACAGAGATGTCAAGAAAGATACTTCTTTATGCACTAAAGAGCAAAAATGTATAGCAAAAATGTGTCCCTGACATCTGCCTGCAGAGATAAGGTTCCCCTCCAATACCCAAATATCTAAGCCCACGGTCCCTCATGTCTCTGCTGGTGCCCTTGGACTTCATGAAGTCTGTTACCACTAAGGCTTCCTACCTTTGGGGCTGGGGATTTAGCTCAGTGGCATAAGCGCCTGCCTTGTAAGCAGGCAGTCATGAGTTCGATCCCCAGTACCCCTAAAAAATAAAATTAAAAAAAAGGCTTCCTACCTTCCTCAGTCTGCTTTACCTGCACTCGGGGTCTGATCTTGGGTTAGTTTTCACAACAAGAGCTACGACTTAGCTGTCCCATTTGGCAAGGCTCTCCTGAAGGTAGCAAACAGAGGGTCCCTAGCAGAGGCCACAAAGCAAAGTGCTCCATAGCCCTATCACATAGCCAGCTCGTCAGTGCCATGCCAGACGGTCCTTTGCTCTCTGGGATACCAGATTCCAAGAGCAGGGAGAGGTCCAGGCAACCTAGAGAAGTTCTGTCACAAAGACAGCAGCCCATCACATTGCCACACCTGGCGGCTGGACTCTTCTGGGACTTAAGCTTCTCCATTCCAAAGTGGCATCTTGTCTTTGTCTCTGCAAAAGAAACTGGATGGAAATGACACTGGGGGGGATACAGAGTCAGGTGGCCCAAACATGGAGGGCCTCGAAAGTACATCGGAGATTGAGACTGGAGTCCAATGGTAAGCCCTAGGCTGCTGTGAGTCACTGCCCCTTGCTGTCCAGATTGTTGGCACACTGGCCTCCTTGCATCTCCTATAATAGAACATGGTCTTCCTGCCCCTGTATCTTTCCACATACTGCTTCCTCTGCCTGAGATGCTCTTGCCCAGACACCTCCTCCAGATCTTGGCACAAATGTCACTTCCTCAGAAAGTCAGTCTCTGCCTTTCCCATGTAAATTACACCTGCCATAATGTTTTTCTTCATAATTCCCACCATACCATGTCCATTCAGTTTTCTAACTCCTGCCCCTCTTGCTAGGACAGTTCCATGAGAGCAAGAGTACCTAAAGGTCAACTAGGTAGCTGTGCAGAGCACTGATTGAGAGTACCCAATAGTGGAAGTGGGGGGCCAGTTAGAAGTAAATTGTGGTGTCCAGTTGTGACAAGCCAGTTGGACCAAGGTGATGGCAGAGGGGAGGAAGAGGAGTGAACACTTCTAATTTAAGGATTGGAAAGAATTAACCAAGCCAAGAGGAAGAAGACTAAAGAAAAAGAAAAACAGGAAACTGAACCCCTCCTGAGGACCAGAAGGAAATTTGCTGTGGCCAGGATACATCCACTTTCAAATAATGGAAATTCAACAGAAAAATATCTCAAGAGGGGGCCAGGGATTTAGCTCAGTGGCATAAGTGCCTGCCTAGCAAGCATGAGGTCGTGAGTTCAATCCCCAGTACCAAAAGATAAAAATTAAAAATTAAAAATCTCAAGAGTCAGAACAACACCTTTCACCCACAACATGGACTTCAGTTTACCAATGAGGAGATCAAAACCAAGCAGCAGTAAATAAACTGGTACATGGTCCCACAGACAAAACCAGAACTGTAGCCCCACTCACCTGAAAGCTTCCAAATCCCTGCTCTTATGTGCTGCACTGGAGAGGCATCCAAGCACAATTCCACAGACAAGGTGGTAGGTTATGAGATGTGACCCCAGAGACTAAGGCAGAGAGAAAAGGAGCCGGAAACTCTTGGCGAAGCTAGTCTGGGCCTACCTAAACCTGGCTGCTGTCCAGCTGGTAAGGAGGAGGAGGCAGAAGTCCAGGCCACAGAGAGCCCTCCCATAGCAAAACCTGGCTCTCTGGCCAGCAGGTCAACAAGTTTGCTTGACTGCTCAGTGAGTAAACACAGATTGACGAGCAAAACATGATTTCTTGATGGCAGCCATTCTTTCGGGAGTGAGGTGGAATCTCAGTGTCATTTTAATTTGCATTGCTTAAATAGAAAGTGATGTTGAACATCTCTTCTGCATTTATTGGCCATTTGTTTGGGTGGGGGTTGTTGGGGGGTTTTTTGGGTTTTTTGGTTTGGTTTTGTTTTGGTACCAGGGATTGAATGTACAACCTCACACTTGCCGGGCAGGTGCTTATGCCACTGAGCTAAATCCCCGGCCCATTATTGGCCATTTGTACTTCTTCATCTGAGAAGTGTCTATTCATTTCAGATAGGCCCATTTGGGGGCTGGGTCTTTAAATTGGGGTGGGGATCTAATATGTCTTAGTTCTTTATTCTAGGTATTATTCCTCTGTCTGAGGAGTAGCTGGCAAATAATTGTTTTCCATTCTATAAGTTGTCTCTTCATCTATAATGCCATGCTCTTGATCCCAGCTGGTGGTTTTCTTTGCCATGCAGAAAGCTTTTTAATTTGATGTGAGCCCATTTGTTTATTCTTTGTAATGTTACTCCAGCTTTCTGCCTGAGCATAGTCTGAGGTAGGAGCAAAGCAGAAGCAGGGAAATGGGTCCCAGGCTCTCTGTCCTCCCCTCTGGACTCTCCCCACCACCTGTGAATGCATCTGAAGGGGAGTCAAATGCACCTTCCCCAGGGTGCCGGTGGCTGCCTCCTCCCCTGACCTCTATCCCTGCTCATCCAAGCTGCCTCTGTGACTGTCTCCGCTTTGGAGACAGTTAAACAGCCCTGCACAGAACCTGCATTCCACTGAACTACAGGTCATCTGGTAAGAAATAGAACCAGAACCAAGGCTTGTCAAGCCAGTGTTCCAACTAGGAAAGCTTTTAAACTGTTTCCCATTTCAAACTCCCCAGAGAAGGAGAAATGGAAATAAAATCTCAGGCTTTCCCTGCCCCAGCTCTGCCTGGGACCACTGGACAGTGGGTCTGCCTGGGACTGGACCTTCTTTGGGACCAACAGGGTGAATAAATGATGATGCATATAAGAGGAAACCACAGCTGGCAGGCCCTGCCAGCCCTCTGCTCCCCTGTACCCTTTACTGTGGAGGGAGCACCGTTATAATGCTTTACCAACATTTTGAACGTCTACTGCACCACACTGTTGACCCCAACATCTGGTTGGCCTCACGGCAATCAGCCTGCCCTATCCTCTTCTTCAAGGGAAGGACATGGAGAGCCTCACACACACACACACACACACACACACACACACCAGTAAGGACGTTGCACGAGCCGAATGTGATGAGTGGACACTGAAAATGTGGCTAGCCTAAACAGAAGTGCAATGTGTGTGAAATATACATTGAATTTGCAAGACTTACAAATGACTCATTAACAGTTTTATATTAAAATACATTTTAAAGCCTGTAATCCTAGCATTTGGCGGTTGAAGCAGAAGGATACCCTGAGTTCAAGGCCACCCTGGGCTACATACTGAATTCAAGGCCAGCACTGAACATGTAGCGAGATCCTGCCTCAAAAAACCAAAATAATTACTAATAAAAATAATTTATTTTGAAGCTAAAATATGTTATTTCATGTGCTAATCTCACCTATTCCTTCAAAAAGAAGCCACTAGAAAAGTTTAAATTACATATTTCCTCCCCACAAGATCAAGTATAGGGGAACACAGCAGGTCAGGAACCATCATTTTGGAAATGAATAACAGAAAAATAACTTTTGATTTTGTTTTTCTTCCTATTTTACACACATCAGAAGGAGAAGAGGCCTTAAAGAATCCGTGTCCCCTGCAATTTGTGTGGTGCCAGACTTGCTGGTTAGAAACAGAGCCCTGGCCTTGTCCCTGCTACCCTTCAGCACCCTCTGTGGTCATCTGCACAGTCCAAATGCCACCCCATGAATTCAATGACCCCCCCTCCCAGCCTGAGCCAAACTTGTCTTTCCTGTTCCATCCACAGGCTCCCTGCCTGAAACCTTTATACCTGTTAGTTCACACTTCTATTTGTTCAGTCAATCACCAAATTGCTCCTTGATTATTCCCCATGTGCAGTCTATCGAGTGTTGGCTACTGTGGATGATCCAGTTAGCAAAACAGGCCCTATTCCTGCACTCACCAAGGACCACACACCTGGCAAGGGACAGGGAAGTAAATAAAGGACACTTACATACATTTCAGGAAAAGCAGTTGTGGGGGAAGCACAGTGCCTTGAATGCAGAACCCAAACCAAGCTGTAAATCAGGGAGGGCTTCCTAGAGGAAGGGGTCATCACAAATGAAGAATCTGAATTGACCAGATGACCAAACTGAGGCTGAGGAGTGGTAAATATCCTAGGTAAAGGGAACTCTGAATTCAGAAACCATAAAGGCAGGGAGGAGAACAGAGCCTGCAGAATTTAATGCTACTCACTCTAACTGTACGGCAGGGATTGCACGAGTCCTGGGAAGTTGCATGGCACTATTCCAGCATATTTACTCTAGGCTCTGCACAGTGAAAGGTCTTTACTCCCAGCAGGACCCAGTCCCAGAGCACAGGCCCACCACAGTCAGGCATTTGAGGCTTCATGGAGAATGAACAAAGGCCTTGTGAGGGGTCCAGGCCAGTGTAAAAGGCCAAGCATGGAAAAGCTAGGGCTGCTCTGGGGATCAGCTGGTGCTGGGTGTGGGGGCTCGGTTTGAGATTCAGGTTGGGGTTTGCAGGACTAGACTCAGGAATAGGGGACAAGGTTGGGGCTGAGGTGAAGCTGGGGTCTAGGACCCGAGTTCAGAATCGGAGTGCAGAGTTAGAGCTGAGGTTTAAACGGGGGTTGAGTTTGGCAGTGAAGCAAGGACAGGGGTAGGCTGGAAGTTCTAGTTAAACCCCAGTTGGGGTTGGGATAGGTTCTGAGGCTGGAATTAAAACTAAAGCGGGGTTGCTGGGGTCTGGGCTAGGGCCCAGGCTCTGGGGCAGAGGGACAACATTCCTCCTGCTGCCCAGGTCTGTTAATTGTGTTCAGAGTCCAACCGCAGCTGACGGACGCCCCTCCCTTCCCAAGAATGTCTCGGCCCAGCATGAGCAGTGCCACGTCAGCCAATGGGCTCAGGCCCTGCCCTGGAAACACCACCTGTTAATCCCCCTCCTTCCATGCTCACCTGCGCGCAGGTTAGGCAGGTGAAACATCTCCCCCGGAAACGAGCAAGAGCACCCACCTGCTGGACCTTTCCTGCTCAAATTGGATCCAGCACGTTCTCGTGAGTGCCCCACACTCCCCCACTCACTCCACCTCACCTTCTCCCCCTGGCTCTTCCCCTGAGAACCTCCACCCCGCCCCCAGCCTGCCCGTCATAGCAACCTATGCCTGCACTTTCTAACCAGCCCTGGGGAATGCTGGGAGAACTCTACGCCCTGCCTACAGCCCCTCCTCCACCTCTCACCTGCCCCGCCCTCCTTGTGTGCCTGCAGACCCAGCAGGGCTGGTGCAGGAGCCATGCCCCCTAGGGTATGACCTCTGCAGAGTCAGGTCAGATTCCTGGAATGTACAGGACCCATGTCATATGTACCATTGTGAATAGGAGGGGAAATGTCTTGTTCCCTTATTCAAAAAGCATGCTTTAGCCTCTGTGTGGGCTAAATGAAGATGTCAGATGATCCCCCCACCCCTCAAGATAAATGTCACTAACTTCAGTTTTCAGAAAAAGAGACTGAGGCTCTGACAAATGAGTTCCTGGGGCCTTGACGAAGGCAGGGCTTCTCTGAGGGTCCTGGCTCCCAGGGTCCTATGCTGATGCACACCCAGCTCTTTGCAGTCTGCACAAAGGGATCCTGTAGGGCAGGGACTGTGCTTGCCTGATTTTTCCCTGCTGTGAGTCACTATCCTCCGGGGAACAGGTGAAATGACTACTAACTACTACACTGGTTCCTCCCTGCATCTCTATCTGCTGGGATTCAAGTCCAGAATCCTTTTTCCTCTGTACCATTTTAGATAAATCGTGGAGGAAGATGGCAAAGGTGGAGTGCAGGGGAGAGTGGGGAGGAGTGGAGAAGCGGGAAGATCAATGTAATCAGAGTACAGAAGCAGGCGTGATGGGGTGAGACCAGGAACTGGATGGAGAAACATCTGGAGGAGCCTCTGCCCTGGGATTGGGTGTGACAGGGGAAGATGAGCAACCCCTCTGCAGCTGAAAGGGAAATGATGCCATCTGATATGGGGAACACAAAGGAGAAGCAGGTTTAGAGTAAGCTGACAAGCTTGGGTTGGGACCTATGGCATCAGAGAAGATGATTGGACATCAAAGTGACAGTTGGTTCAGGAGGAAGATCTCAGTGGCAGAGAGGAATCTGGGAACCAGCATCTGTTATTGCTAGTCAGGCTGTGAGGTAGGGTGGGATTAGGGGAAGGGCAATATTAGGGGTCAGATGCCAATCCACAGAAAGAACAGACACAGCCGTAAGAGAGAAGTTCGAGGTCAGGCTGCTGGTTCCAGAAGAGTTAAGTCATCAGCCCCCTCCCTTTCCACAACTCCCTCCCAGGAACCAGCAGTGACAGCTGAGGCCATGTGAGTTGATCCTGAATGAGGCTTTATCTCTGGCTGTTAGTCCCATCATCCTCTGTGGCACCAGCTCCCTCGGCCAGCCAGGATGGGACAGGCCACTGAGAGAGCCAGAGCCAGAGAGGTCAGGAACTGGGTAAAGGGATTCCCTGGAAGAATGGGGAGCATCAAAGAGGGAAGGAGCTCTCCTGGGGTCATGGAGAGGCTTTCCCCAAAGGAGAGGACTGGACAGGGGTCTTTCCCAGGGGAGACTCCACACAGCACTGGGGAGGGCTCTCAGAGATCTGCCCCAAGGCTCCCAGGTGAGTCCCTAAGGGTCCAGTGGGTGGGAGTTAACACTGCAGTCTTGCCCTTGCAGGTAATGGTGACCTCAGCCTGGGATAAAAGGAATGAGATTCTGGACCTGCAGCTGACAAGCAGGAGGTGGAGGCACCAGGTCATGGTCTACACCCTCTGACCCCTGACACTGAACTTCTGCCCTGACCCTGCCTCACCAAGCCATGTCTGAACCAGCCCGAGTCCATGCCAGCCAGGAACTACCCCCGGAGGTGCTGGCAGAACAGGTGGAGCTTTGGTGGTCCCAACAGCCACGGCGCTCCTTGCTCTGCTTCACCGTGGCTGTGGGCCTTGTAGCAGGCTGTGGAGCCGGTGGTGTGGCACTGCTGTCTTCCACCAGCAGCCGCTCTGGTGAGTGGCGCCTAGCAACAGGCACAGTGCTCTGCCTGCTGGCCCTGCTGGTGCTGGTGAAGCAGCTGATGAGCTCGGCAGTACAGGACATGAACTGCATACGCCAAGCCCACCATGTAGCCCTGCTGCGCAGTGGTGGGGGGGCTGATGCTCTGGTGGTACTGCTCAGTGGCTTGGTGCTGCTGGTCACCGGCCTGACCTTGGCTGGGCTGGCTGCTGCCCCTGCCCCTGCTCGGCCACTGGCCGCCATGCTGTCGGTGGGCATTGCCCTGGCTGCCTTGGGCTCACTCTTGCTGCTGGGCTTGCTGCTGTATCAAGTATGTGTGAGTGGACACTGCCGTCCCATCCATGGAGCAGCCCCTACCACCCACAGTGGCATTAACATCTTCAGCATCTCAGGACAGCTGTCTGCTGGCCAGCGTCATGAGACCACATCTAGCATCGCCAACCTCATCTGACCAGCCAGAGCACTCCTTCGCACAAACTGCCTCAGTGTCCCTGGAACCACTCCAGGGCATGCATCTGTATGTGTGTGAACGTGTGTGTGTGTGTGTGTGTGTGTGTGTGTGTGTGTGTGTGTCTCCCAGGGCCTTCTGTGTATGTCAGCCCTTCTGTGGGACTGTGTGATCCAGAGCTTATGTGTACCCACATATCCATAGCACAGGGAATGCGCCTTCTTAGAACTGCACATTGTGTCAATGGACTGTCCCTCTGCCTGTCTGGAGTCTCTAGGCAGAGAAAGGTTTAACAGATTCTTGACTCCTGTTTCCAACACTCTTCATCTCTAGATTGCCTTGTGGCACCTGTCAGGGATTTCCATAGGGAAGTCTTTTGCCCACCCTGGTACTGCACCAGTGACTGCTCATCAGGAAGCGTTCTGCAGGCAAAGCAGAGGGAATGTGGGCTCCAGACGCAGACTTACCTGGACTACATTCCTGTTTTGAACACTTTGCAGCTGGGCGGTGCAAGCAAGTAATTTAGCCTTGCAAGGCTGTTTCCTGAGATTCAGGAATAAAAGTCATAAATGGACAGACTGGTGGCTTATAGCAGATGTGCAATAAAATGGAGACTGCTACTGTCATTGTCATCGTCTTCACCCCAGGGACTCTCCTTCCCCCTTCCTTACATCCCAGCCCCTGTCAGACTGGCTCTTCCCACCACTTGTGACAATGCCTTGAAAGGCATTGGTATCCTCAGCCAGCTGCATGGTTTCTCCTCCCAGATAACTAGGGGCAGGAGCAGGGAAGAGAGGAGGGTTGAGTGGATATGCAGATTTGAGAAGACAGCGGGCTTCCTCTGGCCCAGAGAAAGGGTGGTGAAACTGCATTATTCACACACTGGTTTAGGAGGAGGCCTTCACTCAGCATGGGCTGCTGTCCTCTGGTTTTCCTGGAGGCTGCGCCATCCTTTCATGGTCTCCCTTCACTGCCCCCCTGGGGGTGGCTGGGAGGCTGCAGCTCCTCACCCATTTAGAAGCCAGGACAGCCTGTTTCTATATGGTTGGTCAGTGTACCAGTCACTATACTTCTGGGCTACTGGGCATGGGGAGGGTGTTTGAAACTCTTCAGTGTGGTAAGGGGCACTTCCTGCTTGAAGGCATCCCTGAAGGGAGCTTCTCTTCTGTGGTGACAGTGACATTTCCTGAGTGGCAGTGATCAAGCTCCACTGGAAGCAGGCACAAGAGCATTTGTTCCTGCAGCACCACTTCTTGCTGTGTGAGGGGCAGGTGACCTGAAGGACTTGAGGACACTGAAGAGGCAGGAGAATAGGACTCATCTCCTAAGACACGTTAGGAGGGACACAGTCCCTGCTGCAGGGACTCAGCAAGCCGTGTCTCCTGGGTAAACATCAGGCTGGGGGATGAAGGGCTGAAGACTGCGGGAGGGAAAGACAAGGCACGTCCGGGAACACCCAGGACAATAGAAACCTGCCTCCTGCCTCCTGTCAGCCTTCATGGAGATCCTCTGTGATGCCACCAGTCACCCAGCATCTGGGTCAGATACCTGAGGGGTCTCAGATGGTGGTGGCTCTTTCACTGCCTCCTCCCCCAAGTACACCAACAAATCACTGAGTCCTCTGATTCCTCTCATAAGTTTGTTTTTGTTTTTTGGGTGGTTTTGTTTTGTTTTGTTTTGGTGGTACCGGGGATCGAACTCTGGGCCTCACGCTACAAGCAGGCACTTATGCCACTGAGCTAAATCCCCAGCCCCTATAAATTTTGTCTAATACTGTAATCCTCATCCTCCACACTCTAGAATTGTACTGCTGCCTCTTTACAAAGCTCCCCAATTTTACTCTTCTCTTCTCTTTAAAAAACATCTTCCTCACTACCACAGGCTGCGCTTGAGCTAGAACGAGCACTCTCAAACCAAAATGAAATTCCACATGGAAATCTTCCCCTGGCTCCCCATCTCTTACCAGTTTCCTGACATCATTCGGTCCCACTCTACCCTCAAAGAACTCCATGTACCACCACATCAGACCAATTCCACAAACACGTGTTTGCTCATTTGTCCCCACCTTTATGTTTTGTTCTCTTTGCCTTCCTGTCTTTCGAGACCCAGTCCTCTGGGGACTCACATTCTCTGGGGCGTCTTCCTTGATCCTCTTCTTTTAAACTAGCAATTTCCTTTTCTATGCCCATAGTACCCTCAATTACAGACACTAGCCTGGGATCCTTTCTGCATCCTGTCACTTCAACAGGGGTTGAGTTTGTGCCAGGAAGGTTTGGTCTTGCTTGCTCATCTTTGCATCATTAGTTCCTAACATGGGCCCAACATGTAGATGCTCCGTTGGTGATGAAGGATCACCACCTGGGCAGACAGCAGCATAGTGGGGCTGGGGCAGGAGACCCAAACCTAGCTGGGAAGGAAGGAAAGGGAAGTTAGGTTGCTGTGCATTTGGCCCCAGTCCATCCCTGCTGGAGCCCTGTGCTCTCTACCCGAGACATGTCCACTCTTCCTGGGCTCTCAAGAGAGAGACCCTTAAGTGGTGACAGAACCACAGAATGCCCTCGCATCTTATTATGTGGGAAGAAGTCCATTTTTCTTTAGCTGAGACAGGGTTAGAAGCCAATAATATTTCTTTTAAGCAAATAAAAGAAAAAAGTAAAGAGGCTTAGACAACAAGGAGGGGCTGAGGCAGCGTAAAGGTCTAACTGAGGAGCATCACAGTCAGGACCAGCATCAGGCTGCCTGGGGAAGGGTGCAGAGTAAAGGGTGCAGTGACAATTGCCTGTGCCCCCAGAGGGCCTATTTCAGAGGGCACATGAGACAGACGATGGGTGAGGGCTCTACTGAGACACAGGTAGGCAGAAATGCAGCCTCCTTCTCCATCTCTAAAGCAGATCTGCTGTCACTTCCTGTCTTTCTCTAGCTTGACCAAAGCATTTATCGAAAGCCCTGCTTGGTCCACAAGCCTCTCTGCTGTCTCTCTCCTAAAGGTGCACCTTCCTTAGCTGGGCATTGTGGTGCATGACTGCAATCCCAGTGCACTGCAGTCTGAGGCAAGAGCGTTACTGAAAGTTTAAGGCCAGCCTGCTGGGCTTCATAGTGAGTTTAATCCCAACCTGGATAATAGCAAGACACTGTCTTAAAAAAAAATCTGATGTCACCTCTCCTAACTGTCTTTACTTCCCTTGTCATTTAGTTGAGACTCCGTAGCCTGCCATTTCACTCCTCAGCCCCTTTGGTCAGCATTCCCACCAAAACTCCCTTCCCTGGATGAATCCACCCAACTGTCTTCACTTGACAGTCCCCCACCAAGAAGATGTTCTTAGGTCTGCATGGGGCTTGCCTCCCATGCCAAGTCTCAGCAGGCTCAGTCTCTCACTTTCTGAGAAAATTGGAGTGCAGAACAGGAGCCCTGCTCTTACACCTGTCCTTGAATGGCTTTGACAGCCAGCAGAGGAATCTGAACTTTGTCCTCTGGACACTGAAAAGCATGGAGACATGTTAGGGAGGATTCAGGCTCACCGGCTGCTGTGTGAAGCAGGGGGTTGGCCTTAGAAGGAAAAGAAGAGAAATGGCTGCATAGCCCCAAAGTGTTATCTGAGCAGGCCTCTGAAGGATGAGAAGTAGCCGGAAGCACCACAGAGGGTTCCTGGGCTGGGAAGAGGTGAGGTCAAGGCAGGGAGTGCCCAGGTCTTCAGAGGCTGCTGAGCAGGTGGGTTACTTGTCTCCAGCCAACAGGAAACCAAGGGAGAATGTTTAGCTGAGGAATGATTTGGTCAAAAACGTGCGTTCCGGTGATCACTCTGCCAGCAACATACAGAATTACTTGGAAGGAGCAAAACTAAAGGCAGGGAAACCAGTTGGAAAATTAATGGAAAGTGCAGCTGTAAAGACGAACATGAGACAAGGAGGGGCTGTGAGGTTAGGGTTCAAAGAAAACAGATTCAACGGACATTCACAAGTTGGGTCCAATAGATCTTTGCGACTACCTGAAGAAGCCTTCTAAGATAGGGGCAATGTGATTGGTTAAACACTGGGAAAAGAAGGATTGAAGATACAAGAGGGAGAATAAATTGGTCTCAGAGGGAGGCAAGTGGACTCAGAGCTGGAGATGGAGGGAATGGCTTGCATCTCTATATGGAGAGAAGACAGAATGTCGAGGCAAGTGTGTGAGTTTTGAAGCAGGAAATCAGTGAGGCTCTGAGCAAGAGCTATTCTCTCTGCAACATGGAGGCAGCTTTTAAAGAGCTGTTAAGAAGAAAGGAGAGAGATCTGATCAAGGAAACAGCAAGGTTTCTGAAAGCCCACATGAAGCTGCCGACTCGGCAGCCCCAGAGGCTGGACTACCAGCACAGCAGTGGTGGTGTCACAGACGAGTTTCATCTGGGAGATGACAGGGAAGGTAAAGTGATGATAACACCAAAGGAGTGGCCACTGGTAGAGAAGAGAATGAGAAGGGGCTGATGGAGAGACAGAGGAGGATGGTCTGGACTGAGAGGCAGTCAGGCGACAGATGAGGAGGAAAGAAAGAGACTTGACACATATGCCTCCTGGGCTTAATAGTCACTCTAGATTCTCGGCAATGTTGCCTGGATGTACTGGCAGGACAGGTTCAAAGTGGTCCTTACACTTTATCAGTCACATCCCATATGACACTTCAGGCGTGGAGGGGACATCCTGATCTCCCTTGAGGAGCATCCTGCAGGCCCAGGGGATTACACATGCCCTGTCACGCTCAGCAGCCCGTACCCAGATAGGATGCCTTCTTGACTGTTCTCCAGGACCTAGGACGCTCCCCCAGGCATAGACTGAGAGGTTTCTAGGGCTGCAGGACCCCAGATGCAAGGCAGGAATGGGGCATGATTCTTTCACTTTACAACCTGCTCTCCCAAACCTGGAGCTTGTATCCCTAACTTACTGGATTCCCATTCATTGGGAGTGAGTCAGAGGGAGCCAGGGAAGGCAAGGAGGAGACGAGTCCAACACACAGCAGTTTCCTTCTGTGAATCTACTTTATTCTTACTTCCAGGTGAGATGATGGCCTTGTTGCTGGGAGAGGCAGACATGTTGCAGTTAACTTGAGTCTCAGCACCCTAATTTGCAGTCACCCACCAGCAGAGATGTGATAAGAAAGTACTGGAACCATACCCATCCTCTCATTGAGGCCCATTTTATTTTATAGCATTAGAAGCTTTAATCCAAACCCGTAGCTGTCCTGACTAGATCTTCCTACCTGAGTCCTGAGAAAAAGCTAGAAGTGAACAAGGAGTGAGGAGGCTTGGCAAGCTGCTGCGCCCTCGGGATTAATGTTTGCTACCTGTTGTGGAGAGGGCAGCCCAGGACATCCCAGTCAGGATACAGCTTAAACTTGCAGAGCACCTGCTCTCTTCTGTTTTACATGTAGAAAGAACTCACTTAGTCCCACTGACAACCATGTGAACCAAGTGCTGTTATGATCCCCATTTTACTAAGAAGTTGGGTACTGAGGGGCTAAGTAACTTTCCTTAAGTAAATCCAGGGAACCTGTACTCTCAAACTGCTTTGCTACTGTACTGTGATACTGCTGGAGTTTCTTGATTCCATGTCCATGGCTTTTGTGACTCCTCCACTGTTGCTCTCCATGCAGACAAGGGATGTGGCCTTGCCTTTGGAGAAAGCCGGAACCTGGCAAGTTCTCTACAGTCAGGAGGTCTGACCTGGGATAGTGGCAGTTGCTGAGGAGGGCAGGGTAGGCACAGGGCTGTGGGCCGAGGCAGGCTGGGGCCAGGACCTGACACCAGAAGAAGCCAGACCAGGGAGAGCACCAGTGAGTGCCAGGCCTCCCAGAAACTCCAGCACCCCTGGCCCTCCAAGCTTTGCAGCCATGTCCTGCTTTTGCTTCATGCCTGGGCCCAGCACAGTGGGAACAGATTTTCCCAAGGAGTCAAGATGTCTATCTTGACTCCAGGGCTTGGAGGCTCCAGGGCTTGACTCCAGGACTCTGTTCAGCCCAGCGTGGCCCCAGGGGCAGGTTTAACAGGGAGCCCCGACTCATGGACTTTTGTGGATTGTGGGCTCAGGAGAAATAGCTACTTCTCAGGGACCTCTCCTCCTCGTGATCCTCTCAAGAGTTTTGACCCAGATCTTGAAGAGTCTGTGAAAACAGGGACAGAGTGAGAGAATAAGTGTCGGTTGAAGGCTCTTCTCACTTCTTCCATGGAGCAGGAAGGTGTTGAGCCTCTCTCCGCACATCGGGCTGCTCCAGTGGGAGTAAGGAAGCATGACATAGGCAGCTCCCTCCCTCGGAGGCCAGAATAGGTCTTTTGCCCCACAACCTGATGCCCATGGCCCTCTCACAACATCTCATGTTGGGGCAGCCTCTGCTATCCCCAGGCCCTTGAGGCCAGGCCATCTCTAGGATCAGAAACAGTTACTGAGTTGAAATGGCTGCTTCCTCCAAGTCTCCCCTACCAGGTCCTCCTCTAAGGTCAATTCCTGTCCCCACTTCATCCTCAGCACCTCCTCTCATCTGCCCCTCCTGCTCCCAATGACCAGACTACTGAGTATCTCCAAATCCAAGACCTCAGACTGGGCTTCTCTGTGAATCTGGGAACTAGCTGGCCTTGGGACTCTCCTCAGGAACCCCACATCCAACACTGAATCACCAATCATCCAGCCTGCTCTTCTTCACCACACCAAGCTATGGAGCCAGAAGCTAGGGCAGTGTCCCCACGTCCAAGATCAACAAGTTCTGTCACCTCTGCCCCCATCCCATCTCTGTGGTCCACTCTTGTTCCACAGTTAGTCAGATCTTCCCACCTCTCTGACACACACCCTCCAATCCATCTGCACAGCAGCCAGAATGAATTTTCTATCATGATTACATGATTTTCTACACTTCCTTGCAAAAACTAGTCCACAGATGAGCCTCAGTTGCTTCCAAGCTGGAGTGTAAGTTCTGCATCTTGGCTTCCAAGACCCAGTCTGGTTCTCAGCTTCATCAATGCTGTGGGAACCTTCCAAATTCTACGCTCCAGTACTCCTGAGCCCCCCGCCTCTGACATCCCTCCTTGGGTCAGCTGCCCCTTTGCTTTCCTTCCCTGTTGGCTCTTCCCTCAACACTGCATCCCAATGGACTGAGGGGTCACCACCTAACTCAGGAGAATAATCCACTCTCTAGGAATAATCCAGAAAACAAACAAGCAGCTTCCCCAAACCACACATGTGCTGCAAAATCATGCCCATCATAGCTGAGCAGGTGGTAGGTATTTGACTCAAACTAATCTCTCCTCCCTGAGTACTTCACATTTGGGACCCAGGGTTTGGGGGAGTCTCATCAATGCCCCAAGTGTCATAGAGCGGGAGGTACAATCCCACCCTCTAGCCAGGGGGGGCTGCTTGCTTTCTGTCACCCAAGTTAGTTGTCCCTTTGATTCTGTTCAACAGTCAGGATTTCTCCCCCAAATTCCTAGTTAAAGCAACTTACCTCAAACCTCTTCCTTCTTAAAACTGCCCCCTTGACTGATCAGGACTCCCATCCTTCTCCTCTTCTTGGTAGTATCTCTCACATGTGTCTCTACGTCCTTGTCCTTCATCCATTTACTCCTCAGCCCTCAACACAACTGCCCTTCAAAATTCTGTAATGCTAAACCATTGTATAAAATGCATTCATAGATAAATTATTCACATCCTCCTGTATACTTTAAATGAACTCTAGATAACTTACAGTGTCTAATGCATGCCTTTCATTGATGTGGATTCAGCATGGTACTTGGTATATGGAAAATTGGGGTTTTACTTTTTGGATCTCCCTAGAATTTTATTTTCTATTTTTAACCCATGGCTGGCCAGATTCAAGAATGCAGAGCCCATCGATATGGAGGGCTAACTGCATGTATTCACCTTACACCCACTTTGTGCAAGGATATGAGAACACAGAGAAAGGCACCTCCTGCCATCTCAGAGATCCCAGTCTCACTGCAGGGAGAGGCATGGTGATGGCAGATGCCAACTGTCATATGATTAAAATAACACAGGCATGGAAAATTTGGAGCCCGGAGTGTGACTGAAGGAAAGCTTGGAGGTACCCTGGAGGAGGGAAATCTGGGCAGTGTCTTCCACCATAAGCAATAATTCCAGTTTAGGAAAAATACAAATGAACGATCTTTTTATTCAAAATGAAAATAGATTTATTAATTTCTATGATAAACATAATATAACCAGATCATGAACTTTACTGATAAGAAGTAATTTCAAGAACTTGGCACTGATTTCTCCCTGTCATCTAGACACATATAAAAGAGCAGCAGGTAAGCAGGCAATGGGGGCTGCTGGCGGAGCTTTCATCACTGGCAGAGGGCAGCTGAGTGATGGGCAAGACAGCCCAGTACGGGAAACAAGAGGAGCACAAACTACATGGTGAGGGAGGGGAAAACAAACAGCAAGTCAAGGCCAAAAAACAAAATAAAAAAAGGAAACTTAGGAGGCCAACAAGATCACAGAGGGCTTTTCTTCCATGTTCATGTGATTGTTAGGTTAATCCTGGGAACAGGAGGAAACCACTGGGCATTATGAGTCGAGAAAGACTCATGCTCATTTTGGTGGCATGTGTCAGTAATGGGGGACTGCTCCACCCTGCTCAACCTTTATGCCCTAGCCATCTTTGTCCCTGAGGTTTGAGGCTCAAGTATAGCATCCTGCATCCTTATACTGTCAGGAGACAAGGGTGAGTGTCCAAAGATTAGGGCTCAGAGAGAGAAGTGGTCCCTGCTCCCCTCCGTCTCCAGTTCGCCAGCCCCAGGCTGAATGTAATTGTCCTCAATGAAGCCATCATCATCCTCTTCACCTATCTCTGGGTGGTTCCCACTCCCTGTACTGGACAGCTGGTGGTGCTGGAAGCTGGCACGGTATTGGCGGCAGAGGTGACATTTGGCAGCAAGTGCGATGATGACAGAGAGGACCACAGCCCCCAGCACAACTCCTACCAGCACAGGCCATGCCCGGCCTCCAGTGCCTGGTCCAGGGGCCACAGCTGATGTTGTGGGGAGCTCTGAAGGCCCCGTATAGGCTGTGGAAAAAGGGACAGCATCATCCTTGGGCCCCAGCTAGGTTTCCTGTGGGGACTGAAGAGACTGTGAGCAGAAAAATTCCCCCAATTCTAGCAGCTGAGGGGAGCCCACCTCTTTCCTTAGCCACCACTCCCCCAACTCACTGTGGTTTGCCTCACTCATGAAGGCGTCTGATGACATCAATGAGCCTCGATCTCAAGGTTTGCCAGAAAAAGCCCAGGCTCCAGGAAAACCCCCAGAGGCCAGGCAGACCCAGGGCATAAGTCCTGGAAAATAGAAACATGGATGGTCAGGGATAGGAAGAAGGTATGCATTCCAGGTCACATGCACAGCCTCGGCAGAGTGCTGGGGCACCCATCCACATAAGGGAAACAAGTTGAGGTGTGCGTTTATTTGTAGGGGGCAGTTGCAGGATTTCCCTCTTGAAGCTGCTAAAACAAATCAATTTTAGAACTTGATGAGCACACTTTACGACTCAAGTCACCAGGCAATGTGCTCACAAAATCCCACTGTGTAGGCAGAAACATTATCCCTACTTTATAGATGAGGGTACTGAGGTTCAGAAAGGTGAACTGACTCCAGCAAAGCCTCAGTATTTGAATCCAGAACTCTTGTCTGACACTAGAATACACTTAGCTACATTGCTGGAGAGGGGAAGTTGTGAGGACCAGGAACAAGGCCGAGGCAGAGCCTAATTCCCAAAGGTTGGACAACGGCAGTTATCTGGAGCTGATTGGAGCTACTCAGCCACAGAGCAGACTACACAGGAGGACGATGTAAATTTCCCACCTCTCCCACCTCCCAGGGTGGGGCCCCAAACAGCCAAGGCAGCTCCACCCCTCTGCTTCTGAGTTAGGAACCACTGCCTCAGCTTTCCACTCTCCTCTCCCCACAGCAGGGCCACACTCTGCCTCAGAGGGAGGTGGACACCTGGGACTACCCCCACCAGGCCCACCTAAATTAGGAAGTGGCCTGGATGAGAATCACCTAGGGCTGGGCACCCTGGAAGAGGAGCCCCTGAGTCAGCGGCTGTGGGAAGGCACACCTGAACCTGCCGCATTACTACCCGGAGAACTGGAGGAGGGTTCTGCCAGCTGGGGCTGGGCAGTATCCACAGGTGAAGCTGCTGAACCAGAGAAGTGCCAAAGCAGAACAGCCAGGCTAGGAGGTACCTAGCGAAGCACCTAGTACAGGAAGTGCTGTCACTTACCACAGATTCCTAAATGATGCCCTCAGTCCTCACATCCAACCTGCCATCAAGCCCTACCCCTTCTTCCTCAAAGCATCTCAAATGATGCTCCCCTCCTCTGCAACCACTGTGTCTGCTGTCTGCCACCTTCACCTGGCACCCAAAGTGATCTCTCCTAACCTTAGTCCGCTTCCCAGAGCCACCGTAGATCCTATCACCTACTTAAAAAATCCTTCCAGAAATTGGGCTTGGTGGTGCATGTCTATAATCCCAACACTCTAGGAGGCTGAGACAGGAAACCTGGGCAATTTAGTGATTAACAAGACCTTTTCTCAAAATAAAAAGGGCTGGGACTACACTGGGCTTCACTCAGTACGAAGGGCCTGGTTCAATCCTTAATACAATACTGAAAACAAAAAACAGAAAACCTCCTCATGCCACCCTTATGTGTAGGTCAGTTCCCCGCTCCTCCTTCCAGGCCTGGAAAGTCCACAGGTGGCCCTCAGGCCCATCTCGGCTTCCTTTTCACAAGTTTTCCAAAACTGCAACCTTTCCCAACTCCCCTGCCCTATGGCTCCAGCCACACTCTCACCGCTGGAGTCTCCATCCCTGAGGACCAAATCAGACCATTCTCCCCTTGGGATAGCCCTAGGATCTCCTTGAGTGACCACAGGCCCCATCCTGCACAACCAGGCAGAACGAACCACTACCAGAAAGGCAGCGCCCTGAGGGCGAGGGCTGGGCTGATTGGTGGTCTCCTAGGGCAGGGGGAGCAGCTTCAAGGGCTCAGCCCAGGTTAGCGGGCTGAACAGGGCGATGGGGAGTGAACTCGGAACTGCGGGGAAGGGTGCAGAAGGGACAGGCACACGGTTTTTTCATTCATTCTCAGGTATTCCCGTAACTGCCTACCGTGGACTTTTCCCTGGACACTAAGTCCTTTAAAAATGAACTGAATTCAATTTGACTTTGCTAATATTTTACTATTCCTTTCCTCCCTGCCTAGTTTCTGATTCGTCCCAAAAACAGACACACACAGTCTCCCAAGGGCACATATACACTTCTTGGAAAGGCCTCTGACCTCACAGCCCACACTGGCCTGTCCACCCCCCACACACGACGCGGCCCCACACTTTCAGGGCACACAAACACAGCCCCACCCAGCTCTCGAGTTTCTCTGCGGCTCCCAGGCCCTCCTGGAGATCCGTGGAGAGCCTGGGTGTCCTCTATCGCACCCCCAAGGTCTCCCCACTTTGCTCCCACCTTCAGGAACTGTGCACAGCCGGTGGAGGTGGCTTCCGGCTGGCTCTGCAGAACCTGAACAGGTGGGCGGGCCAGGTCCGCCGCAGGACTCACCTGGGGAGGCTGGGCGGGGCGGAAGCGGAGGGGAGAGCCGGCAGGACGGGGCTGCTGACAGCACCTCCCACGAGGGCGGCTTCTGTGGCCCCTCCACACCACCTCAAAGGGTGGGGGAACCCGCGCAGCTGGGAGCCAGAGAGGGGTCCAGAGGGCGCCCTAGAAGGGGCAGACCTCAGCGGGCAGCTGGTTGGGCTAGAGGCCCTGGTAAACAAATGAATTTCCGGTGACTGTGCAAAGTCCAGAGTTAAAGCTTGGAGACCTGCGTACCGGTGAATCAGTGAAGCGGGCGGTGGGCTGAGCCCTCGGGGAGGAGAGGGGGCATCCTTCCCAGACTGTCAGAGGGACCAGTGATGCACCGAAATTCCCTGCAAACAAGTGTGTGTGTCCAGATAGAAGGTCAGCCCTTCAAGTGGATCTCAAAGCGCCTACAACCCCACCAGCCATGCTCCGGACTCCACACGCCACCCATCGTGCTCTCTGATTCCCTTTGGCCTTGCTCTTCTTCCTTGGCCTGCTTCCTCCCTGCCAGTTCGAAGCCTGCAGCACTTCTGTAAGGCAGTTTCTATCTTGTACTGATTTCTCCCTGGGCTGCCTCCCCCATTCACTGGGAGATCTTCGGGAGCCTCTGGGTTTTCAGGAACCAGCACAGTGCCTGAGGCAGGACAGCTACTTAGTAAATTTAATCTCAGGGAAGGGAAAAAGGGTCCCTAGAGTTAAACCATGGTCACTGGGAGCCATGGGGCACAGCTGGAGCAAGGGCTGTAGAGGTGGGTTGCAAAGAGGGTGCTAAGGAAAAACTCCGAGATGGTCTCCATTTAATTACAAAAGTGGGCAGAAGGGAAAAGAGATGGGGGAAGTTTACCAGTAACAAGCTATAGGCCCACCAGAAGGGGTTTGTTTGTTTGTTTGTTTGTTTTTTACCTTCTAAAATGTGTTACTGAAACTGAGCACCACAGCATACTGTTTGCAGCCCCAGGTAATCCAGAGACAATGCTTGCTTCTCTGTGCAGACTTCCTCCCTTCTTATCTCTAGCCAATCTGGGTGCAATCCGGGCCTGTCTTCTCTAATCCTCACTGTAAAAGTAAATACTCTGGTGTTTTACATCCCGCGGACATTTCGGACATTTTTCCAGGTGCTACTTGTCCTAGCTGAGGCCGGGTGTAGGAGGTGTGAGTTTGCTTACAGCAGCTTGTCCCAAGACAAACCCTTTTTGGACAGCATTGTATCTATAACTGGTCTATTAACTGGTCTTTTCTGGAGGTGTCTCAGTTCCCTGAGCTTTGTTCCCTGAGCCAAGCGCTGGAGAGGGAAGGCCAGTCCCACAGGGCCTGCAATGGCAGGGTGGAGTCCTAACTCACCGACAGTAGCCACGTCCTACCTCTCCCCTCATCTGGTGCCTTGCCTTCCCAGTTTTGCAGAGGGCTCCAGCATCACAATAGCTCTAGCTCTTTACTATTCATAGAATACACTGTGCTCCCAGGCTTTGTTTGCCCTGTTCCCAGGACCCCTGCTTCCCTCAACCTGCACCTCCAATGCCTTCCCACACATGTCCAGGCCCCAGATCTCCAGGCCTCTTCATCTAGATCAGCTTTCCCCACCACTCCCTAGTGTGAGCGATGCACCCTTCTCTCCTCCATTGCCTTCTCTCCTTGCAGGCCAATTTCAGCTCTCATCCTCTGTGGCCCTGACCACGCGGTACTGTGACTTTCTTTTTAGTTTCTGCAGAAGCCTAGGAACTCTGAACATAGATTTTTCATCTGTCTTGTTTTCATATCCTCAGTATCATAAATGGCAACAATAAGTACTATTTCTAAATAATGTAAGGAAAGTGATATTCTAGATAGGGCAAGGAAGCTCCAAGGAAGACACAGGTTCACTGTACTTTGGAGACAAGGAAATCGAAAGATTCAACCGGAAATGTCAAACACTGTGGGTTTCATTAATGGAGGTATTCATATAACATGACCTAAGCCGTTCTCAAACATGTAATTTAGAAACATTTAACATATCACTAAATGTTTGTAACAGTGTGCAGACATTACTCTAGCTCTAAAGCACTTTCCTCCCTCTCAATGGAAATCACTTATCCAATTAGCAAGGCCCCCCACCCACCCCAACCTCCAACAACCCTTAGCGGCTGTCAGTCTCCATAGATTTGGCTGTTGTAGATATTTCATATAAATGTAATCATATTTGTGCCAGCTTCTTAATGAACTATTTCATTTGAGCCTCATAACCACACTAGGGGAGAGAAGTTCATTTTATCCTTAACAGATGAAGAAAAGAAGGCTGTGAGGAGGTAATTGAAAGGATTTTGGTCCAGATAGGACACTGTAGCCGGTAAAGCCTGACTCAGGCAGAACCAAGGAGCCCTATCTTCCCCACCCCTAGGAATTTGTCCCTGGCGCCAAACTAGTGCCAATGGGCTACCTGTGCATCCCTAAAGCCCCCCTCAGGCTCCACCCCAAACTTAAGCTACATGTATGCCTTCACTCCATGTGTCCCACAGAGAGATCGTGGACCCCGGGGGGGGGGGAGATGCCGCATTCCTAAAATAAAGGTCATTTATATTTCATACTTCTTATCTTTTATGGTAATTAGCATGAACTCCCATAGAAAAAAACAAACAAGGGTCGACACATCCATCAGTCAGCCCTTTATTCGAAGAATTTACTGAATACCCACAACAGAGCCATAGCCAACCCACAGAGTGCATATTGCAAAAGGCAGCCTGCAGAATCCCCTGGGGGGAATGGAGAAAAAGAATAGGTTAATATCAACCCCCTCTAGCTCTCCAGCAGGAGCTCTGATGCAATGAACAACCTTAACAACCTTCCCTGACAACTCTAGCAGCCAGGAGACAGGCTCTGTACAAGTTGCTTTTGGGAGGTGATTAGGTCATGGGGCGTGATGCTCACCAGTGGATTAATCCACTGAGGGATTTATGGCTAAATATGATGCTGGGAGGTGAAGCCTGATTGGGAGGAGGTGAGTCACTGTGGGGCATGGCCTGGAAATCTCTCTACTCCCAGTCTCTCTCTGCTTCATGCTGCCAAGCCATGAGTTGTTTGTCCTCTGCCATGTCCCTCTTCCAGGCCACCCTGCCTTGGAGACAGCCAACTATGGACTGAAACCACCCCAAACTATGAATTTAAAATCCATTTCTCCTTACAGTTGTGGGAATAGATCTTAGGTCTCAGCAATGGGAGAATAACTAACATAATCAGGGATGTGTCAGTTCCCTGCTCCCGTGAGAACTCATTCACTGCTGGTTTGACCAGAAGAGTTAGGAAAGCCAGTTAGGAGATTTGCAAGATCCAAGGAAGAGGAGGTGAAGCCTCAGGGAAGTCACATAAAGGTGGAGAGAAATGTTTAAGTTACAAATACATGTTAAAGGTGAAGCCAACAAGATGTGCCAGTTGGGTGCAGGTTGCCAGAAAAGGAAAGAAAGAAATTTGACCTGCGCAACTGGAAGATTGAATCTGTCATTTACTACAGTGAGAAGACTTCAGAGATCTAGGATAGGAAGGGAAATAAGGACCTCCGTTTTAGACATATTGGATGTCTGTGAGACATGTGAATAGCACACTAAGCAGACAGATGATGCCTGGATGCTGCAGGTTCTCAACCACACATCAGAGAACGGACAAAATGTAGATGTCTGAAACCAGGCATATGGATAAGATTCCCAAGGAGGAGAAAAGAGAGAGGAGCTCTGGAATATGCCAGGAGTAGAGGTCAAAGGGAAGATGAGAAGCAGCAAAGGAAGAAGAGGAGTGGCCAGTATGGTAAAAGGCAGAGGTATAGGATTGGTGTCTTGACCAGAGAAGAAAGTTTTCAAGGGCAAGGACTCAGTTGGCTATCAGGAGTGCTGCAGACAAGTCAAATGGGGTGTGCAGTAACAGACAATCTTAGAAAATGCCAAGACGAAAGTCAGTGGCAACCTTGACGAACCCTTTCCCTGGTGTGCAGGGGACAAATGCTTGATTGAAAGAGTGCATGAGTATGCAGGCAGAGGAAGTGGAGACCCCGCCTCCAGGTGAATCCACTATCAAAGGAGCAGAGCCATGGGTAACACTAGAGAAGGGTGGTAGATTGAGACAGGCTCTTTTTTTTTAAGGCTACGAGCTGTTAGACCAGCCGATCGGAAAAATCCAAGAGACAGGAACTTGATGATGCAGAAGGAAGAAAGAAAAGACACAAGGGTGAAGTCCTTGAGGAAGCATAGGGTGGGGTCAGGTGCATGGGGCTGGCCTTGGACAGGAACAGCAGAGTCCCTGTGAGTCACAAAAGAAAGGTGGCCTGCACAAGTCAAGTATATTAGGTCTGTGGTAGGAGTCACAGGACATTTTCTTCTGATGGTTTCTGTTTTTCCTGACAGATAAGAAGCACTATCCTCGCCTAAGAGAAAAATGGGAAGGGGGTGCTGAGATTGAAGGCAAGAAGAGAAGGTGTGAATTTATCAACTCAGACCCTGGGGGAAAGGCGGGCCCAGTGTGTAGCCGGCTTGCAGAGCAGCATCCAGTCTCCCTTGGGGAAAAAGGGATATGGCCATTTAGAGTGACTCAGTACTTTTGTTTTCCAGCCACTGTAAGTACAGTTGGGGAGGAAATGAAGAGAGGGTTCATTTTGGTGTCACCCTCAATCACCAGGATTGAGGATTTGCCAGGCAAATATGATAAAATGAAAGAGGGCCAAGGGAGCCAAACTTTAGGCAAAGGAGCAGTCAGGATGATACCCCATAGGATGCAGTCAGGTAAAGCGTAAAGTGGGCCTGGAGAAGGTGGGGAACACAGAAAGGATCCAGGGAGTAGCCAGGCGCGGTGGTGCATGCCTGTAATCCCAGCGCTCAGGAGGCTGAGGCAGGAGGATCATTGCAAGTTCGAGACCAGCCTGGGCTACAAAGTGAGCTCAAGGCCAGCCTGAACTGCATAGAGAGACCCTGTCTCAAAAAGACAAAAAAAAAAAAAAAAAATCCAGGGATTTTAGGAGCATTGCTGGTGTGCTGGAGTAGATAAATGGAAAGATAGGAGGCTGTGGACAGATGGTGACCTGTGGATTACCCCCTGGTTACCCAGGGAATGAAATGCTTGATAAGGAAAATTCTAGGCTATGAACCATGGCGTGGCATGGTGCTGGAGGTGCTTCTCTTATCTGCAGGATGTGGTTAGCCTTCTGAATTAGAGGTCGAAGGATAACA